AATCTCCGGCCCTCCCCTCCCCTCCCCTCCCCCACCCAACTACAACTCCAGACCCTTGCTCGAGGCTCAGCCCCGGCCCGCTCCAACTCCAGACCCCGCCCCCGCCGTGGCCCAGGCGGGTTCTCACCCAGCGTCTTGAGCAGCAGCGTGCAGTTGAGTGTGAGGATGAGCGGAGTCAGGTACTGCAGGCTCACAACTGTCACGTAGCAGTACACCCGCACCACCTGGTGGACAGGTAGCAGTGGCTGCAGCAGGGGACCTTTGGGCTCCGGGTAACCCCGCGCCTGAGGGACATGGAACCCCGCCCTGAGGCCCAGGTTCCCTCCCCGCCCGCGCCGGTACCCGCCGTTGGATCTCTCGGGCCTCGATGCGGCCGGCCTCCCGCCGCAGCTGCTCCACTCGAGCCTTGGCCAGGCACAGGTAGGCCTGCAGGTGGGGCCTGGTCACCGCCAGCCGCAGCAGGCACAGTGCCACCAGCATCCAGAGACGCAGCGAGTCGAAGGCCGAGTCGGACAGCCTGCGCCGAGAGGGGCGAGGGGGCTAGTGAGGCTGCCCTCTGCCCCAGGATCCTCCCCCAGGACGCACTCCTCCCTTAGACTCAGAGTCTGGAGTAGCCAGAGGGGGCCCCAGCTGCCCTGCCTCCCACTTCCATACGCACAGAGAAAAGGACGTGCTCCCAAAGGGAGCCTGGTGCAGGAAGTCCCGTGCCACGGGCTTGGTCCAGAGCCACAGGACAAACAGGGGGGACAGGAAGCTGGTGTGCAGAAGGAACCTGGGGGCAAGGGCGCAGAGCAGGTAGGCTTGGGCACCCACCATCCCCACCGGCCCCTTCCCTAGGCGCCCTAACGCTCCATCCACCCGGTCCCCCACGTAACTGCAGCATGGGCCGGTCTTCCGACATGGTCAGTGCATCATGGTGGGTCTGGGCCAGCCGCAGGCCTGGGAAGGTGAGGAAGGCACCCAGCATGGAGCCCACTGCCGCCAGCCCCACGCGGATGGCCAGCTTGACCAAAGGAAGACTGGGAAAAAGAGAATGGTCAGGGCCCCGCGGCAGGTCAGCACCCTGCCTGCAGGTTGCAGCATGCCGCTGTTCCCCCTCCCTTCCCAGGACTCACGCCCAGTCCCAGCCCTGTGTCTTCAGAAGCGGCTCCAAGTTCTGGGTCATACTGGCCAGGCCTGGGGAAGACAAAGAGAGGGTGGTGTCCAAAATAGACCCCTGGGGCCTCAGACCCTACTCTGCCCCCCTCCCAGACATCCTTTTGTTCCCCAGGTAGGAACACACTAGTGGCAGCCAGGCCCTGTGACAATCATGAGGACAATTTTGTTCTCCAGTTATGTGAAGCTCAGGAGAATGTGCTAGACAGACACCCTTGACTGGACTGAGGGACATGGGGGCGGAGGGCACTGAGTCTGAGCTTCCCCAAGGCTGGAGGGTCATGAAGGGCTCCACAGGAGGAAATCAAAGTCCTGGAAAGAATTCTCAGTTCAGGCCCCCACATTTTCCACGGAGTAAAAGCAAATAATGTGAGCTCACAACCAAAATCACCAAACACACAAGACAATAAATTACCATAAAGGTGAGTCAGGAGAAAAAAAACAAAGGACAAGTTTAGACCCCAAGGCTTCTGTGTGAAATGTCTGAGGAAAATAAAAGTTGGAATTGCAGAACAGGTGACATGAGACTACCTCAGAGGACTAGGTGGATTTGCAAAGGAATCAGTTAAGCTCTTCCAAAAGGAAAATATAATTATTGAAGTGATAAGTTGTTAAACAGCATCTTAGAAGGAGCCAAAGGAGGAAATGATGAATTGGATCTGAAGAAATCATTCAGATTCCGACTCAGAAAGACAGGAAGGTGGGAAATGTGATGGAAGATTAAGAGATAAGGAGGACAAAAAAAAGAGAGATAAGGAGGACAGAATAGAAAGTTCAATATAAGTCAAGTCTGGACCCCAAAGGGAGAGAAGAGAGAGAATGAAGGAGAAGAGATATTGAAAGGTAATTATTGAGAAGTCTGCAGAATGGATGATACATACAAAGTATATAAAACCAGATAAATACAAAGAAATCCATACCTAGACACTGTGGCAAAACTGCAGAATACCAAAAACAAAGAGCTCACAAAGCAGTCAGAAGTTATGACAGATCACCTAAAAGGAAGGACAATTAAGCTGGCAGCCACTGTCAACAGCACAAAAGAAAAGGAACAAATAGAAAGTGAAAATGTAAGATGGTAGAGACAAGGCCAAATATGTCAGAAATCACAATAAATGTAAGTGGGTTAAACTTTGAAGTTAAATGATACAGACTATCAGACTTGATGGAAAATATCCAGATAGGGAATTCCCTGGCAGTCCAGTGGTTAGGACTCTGAGCTTTCACTGCTGAGGGTGCAGGTTCAATCCCTGGTCATGGAACCAAGATCCCGCAAGCCATGCAGCATGGCCAAATTAAAAAATAAAGAAAGAAAGAAAATATCTATATCTACATATTTATTATTATTTTTTTTAAAGTAGACATACCTCAACGAGGTCACTGGAAGGTTGAAAGTAAAGGGATATCAAAAAGATATAACAAATACTAATCAAAAGAAAGGTAGTATTGTATATTTGAAAGTTGCTAAGCAAGTAGATCTTAAAAGTTCTCATCACAAGAAAAGAAAATTGTAACTATGTGCGGTGATGGATTTTAACTAGACTTATTGTGGTGCTCATTTTGCAGTATATACAAACATTGAATCATTATGTTGTACACCTGAAACTAATATAATATGTCAAGTATATATCAATTTAAAAAGAAAAGAAGGGGGCTTCCCTGGTGGCGCAGTGGTTGAGCGTCCGCCTGCCGATGCAGGGGACACGGGTTCGTGCCCCGGTCCGGGAGGGTCCCACATGCCGCGGAGCGGCCGGGCCCATGAGCCATGGCCGCTGAGCCTGCGCGTCCGGAGCCTGTGCTCCGCAACGGGAGAGGCCACAACAGTGAGAGGCCCGCGTACCACAAATAATAATAATAATAATAAAAGAAGGAAAGAAGGAAGGGAGGGAGGGAGGGAGGGAGGGAGGGAGGAAGAAAGCTGGAAAGGCTATATTAATACCAGACAAACTAGACTAAGATGGAAGTATTATTAGAATCAAAATGGGTCCATACATCATGAAAAAAATGGCTGATTTGCCAGAAAGACGTAGCAATTTTAAACTTGTTAACACCTTGTCAATTAGCCTCAAAATGCGTAAAGAAAACACTGACAGCAATAACCCAGAGGCTTAAACCCCGGGCCCCAGACTGCAGCATAAACCCCAGGCCCCAGACTGCACATACCTGGCTCCAGGCCCAGCTCAAGGGTCTCCTCCGGCACCACCTGCACCAACATGGCCAGGAGGAGGAAGAGGAAGGCGAAGGTGAGGCAGACTGAGCGCTCGCCCCCCTCCTCTGCACTGAAGTACAGCCGGGTCACGGTCAGGAACACCTTGCTGGGGGCAGGGCTAAGGAGGCCTCCAGTGCCTGTAGTGACCCCTCCCCCATCCACCAACCCCAACCAGTGACCCCCCAACTCCAGAGCACTAACATGGAAGTTCAGGCTTGGAGTCCTGGGGAGCAGAGGAGTGAGCTGCCGGGCAAGCCTAGGACACGAGGCTCACTGCTGTTCAGGCCTGTGTCATCAGTGAGCGGGCGGTCCTGAGCCAGGCCTCCAGCTTGGCCTCATCACACTGCCTGTGGTCAGTTAGAAATGGCCAACTCTGTCTCTGTCTGTCTGTCAGGAGGTCAAGTCTCCCTGACTCACTCAGCCTCCTGGCTGAATTCACAGCTCCTGAGTTTCCCGTTCCTCTGAGAGGCTAAAAGAGATACCAGTCTCTATCTCCAATCTGCCCTTCTTTGCAAGCCCATTCCACAAGGACATTGTCTCCGACTTGGGTCCTCAGTTTTGCCTCTGCTCTCTATGCAGCTTCCTTAAAAAATTACAGAAGGGACGTCTCTTTGCCAGCCCCTGCATCTGTTCTGGACTGCTGAGTTGCTTTGACCCAGAGAATGGACAGGGGTTGGGTGGGCCGACTTCAGGCAAAGCCTCAGGAGGCCTGCAGTGCCCCCTTTTCCTTCCTGACCGCTGTGGTGAGGAAGCTTGCTCTAGACCGCTGAAAGGCAAGCCCACTGGGAGCAGATATGAGGCAACCCAGCTGAGCCCCAGCCCAGGCAAACATAAAATAGTGACTGCTTTACACCACTGAGTTTCTGGGGTGACAAGGAGCCTGGGGTCCAGCTTCCACATGCCTCCACCTTCCCCACTTGGGGAGCTAAGGGGAAGGATACATAGAGAAGGCGATGGTGAGCAGGCACCAGAACACAGCGATGTTGGTCTCCTTGGCCGGGCCCAGCACATAGTAGTAGGCCTCTGTGAAGAGGTACACGCCACCCGAGTACACCGCAAAGTCCACAAACCACTGGTACTCCAGGAACAAGCACAGGACTGCGGGGAGGAGGCACCTGAGTTCCCAGCTTAGCCCGCCCAAGATGCTCCCCCCACCAACCCCACCGGGGTGTGAGCCAAGGGCCAGGGGAGTTGGGGACCCAGCTGTTACCGAGGGCATCAACGGCTGTGAGGGGACAGGTCTCCAGCTGGAAAGGGGTGTCACGGGGCACGGATAACGGCTTCTCCTCACTATAGCCATTGGCCCACCTGGGAGGAGGGGGGAATGTGTCAGAACAGCATCCTCCATCCTCCCCTCCCCTGGCAGTCCACCCCACCCCAGCCTGAGAGGCTCTACCATGTCACCCTCAGAGCACAGGAGGCCTAGGAGGTACCTTCTCCCCCAGCCTGGGTGTCCTCGGAATGCCAGGGTGGTGGCCACCACCCACCCATAGGGCTGGCCCACAGCAAAGTTCCAAAAAGCATTAGACGCCAACTGGAGGCAACCAGTGAATGACAGTGACCATCTCCTCAGCCTGGGGTGTCCCCAATTCTCCTGTGCCCAGAGCAGTGCCTGGAAGTGGGCAGGTAAGGCCCTGTGCCCTCATGGCCTCCCCTGGAAGGGAGCCACTTACCTAAGGCTGGGGGTTCACTCACCGCTCCTTCCTGCCTCTGGGCCTCTGCTTCCCCGCCAGGGCCCGAAGCTCTTCCTCGGAAGGGTGCTTGTATCGGAAGAGACTAAGGGCAGAGACAGGCAGTCAGGAAAGGAACTGCCATGTGAATTGCCCTAGAGAGTTCACAATTTCCACCAGATTCTCAGAAAGGGTCTGAAACCCAAACCGGGACAAAAAGAGTTTCGGGAAACAGATCTACAGCTAGAGTAGGGATGAAGACGAGCAGGAGTGGGGGAAGCAGCTGCTCTTCTGAGTATTTAGATGGTCGCAGCGATGTGTACAATCTGTCAAAATTGATCCAACTGTGTACTTCAAATATTTGCAGATTATTGTACGTCAATTACATCTCAACAAAGTTGTTTGTTTGTTTGCTTTAAACAAAACAAAACAAAAAAACCCCACCTTTCAGGGCTTGAGGCGGGGCTAAGGGAAAAACCAGGGAGGGCGGGGCCTTAGGGGCTCCGCCCACCGCACGGGGAGCGGGTGTGGCTCACCTGCCATTGCAGAGCAACCAGCGCGCGAAGGAGCAGTGTGGTGCAAGCCTATGCATGAGGGTGGCGGTGAGCAACGTCACCACCAGCTGCACTCCAAGGACAGCCTGGGGGGAGGAAACACGAAGGGCAGTGCCAGCCAGAGGATCACAAGCTCACGCCTCGGAAGCCCGGCTATTTATAGAGACTCTGGGGCCAGGTTGTGGAGGCAGGGCCACCCCGGCTCAAGCTGCTTCCTGGGGAGAGGTCCTGGGGTGGGCTCAGACCCAACCCTGGGAGCCCCAGCAAAACGCACGTCCCTCCCCACCACGTGGCTGGGGTGTGGGGCGGCGGAGAGCACGTGCTGGAGCAGACACTGGGGCTCGCTTTCCTCCTTGTGCTAAGGATTTAAGGATTTAAATCTCCCCAAGCCTCAGTTTTCCTCATCTGAAAATGGGGTGCTTCCTATTTTGTTTCGTGTACTCTCACGACCACCTTCTGGACCTACAACGAGCCGGCACACCCAGTGGAAGCGCTCTTCTCCTACGGTCCCACGGACGCAGCTTTTGTACCTGTGTCTCAGGTGAGCTTGTAGTTTCAACGTTCACCCAAGGTGGCTCTGTCCCCCAAGTCTTTCCCATCTTAAATTATCCCTGATAATTGAAGTCACCCTCTCTCCCTCTCCCTCCCTTTGTAATCAACCAAGGAGGAAAGCAATCTATTTCTGGCCCACTACCTGTTTCAGGATAAAGACTTACACGTTTGAGTGGGATGACTTTTTTTAATTAGGAATTTTCTTACCAAGTTCTACTAACAAACTTTTAAACAACAATTCATAACACATTTTCATATACTTATTTTAAAACGTTTTAGAAAAAATGTTTTTGGTAATCAGTCTGAAGCTGGATTTTCCTGCTTGAATGCACTAAATACCAATTTGCTTTTGTAATTATGTAAAATTAAGTGCTCAGGAGGGCTGTCTGCTAGTATTATGGTATTAACAACTAAAATGAAATAAAGATTACATTAATATTAAAACTAATTGTTAAATTTATCCTTTAATCAGGCAAAAATAAGCTAAATTTAATAGGGAAAGCTCTAATGTGATGGCTATCGGGCCTAGCACTGTAATTCAGAATGACTGCTGAGAAATCCATCATTAAAATAAAAGACTAATAGGATATTTTCTTTATGCTGTGACTTGTAAACTGAGACCAGGAACGTTTTTTCAGTAATGAGGTGGGGCGTCATCTTTCTGGTCTCACTGCTCACCCTCCCCCCACCCAAGTGCAGACTGGCTAGCAGGCATTAATAACCCAGAGCACAGCTGGGCCCCTCAAAGCGGCCCCGCCCTTCCTCCCAGGACCCCTCCTCCACTCCTCCCTGGAAAGCCAGCACCTCCCAGCAGCTGCTCCCCAGTCTCCCTGGCTCTCCAGACACCTCTCCCTTGTGACCCATCATCCCCTGGCAGAACCTCTCCGCCGAGCTCGCAGACCATGCCTCCTCCAGGCCCTTCCCTGGAGGCCCCAGCACCCACCCATCACTCCCGTGGGCAAGGCTTTCGGCTCCTCCAGGCGGCCCAGGCCCTTCCCAGTCTCATAGTAAACGTCCAACTCCGCTCCTCAGCCCGCAAGGCCAGGGGGACCCAGCTCAGGACCAACCCGCCTCACTGCCCGGCTCTCTCCCCCGCCATCCTCTGCGCCCAACCATTCGGGTCTCAGAGACCCTCCCAGACCCCCGGGCTCTCCATCGCTGACCCCATTACCCTCGGACACCTCCCAGGGAGGAGACCCATGGTTCAAACTACGATCCCAGCACTTTGGAGAGGAAGGACGTTGGAAAGGAAGGATGAGGAAGGAAGAGAAGGGAAGGAGGGAAGACATGCGTCCCTCCACCTAAGGCTCCCGAGGTCTGTCCAGGGATGTTTCTCACCGCCCGCCCCCAGCAGCCTCCAGTCTTAGGGTCCACGCTCTGCAGATCTCCAAAGATCTCTGAAGCATCCCATCAGCCCATGTCCCTCCTCTGCTCAAAGCTCTTCCCTGGATCTGTGATCCCAGAATCCTGCTAAGTAACATCAATGCGACTTTCCTCCATCCCGTTTCCGAGAGCCCTTCCCCTCACCTCCCACAACATCCCGCACCCTGGAACGACATCCACTTTCATCCGCCCCTTCCATCAATGCTCTTACTTCAGACCCACATCCAGCGCCCCTCCTCGGGGTCACCCCCCACCCCAGGCAAGGTCAGGCCGCCTTCCTGGCCCCTCCATCCTGTCTCTCCCTCTGTCCAGTCCTAGGGGCTGGGGGGGTCTCCGCCCTCGCCCAGCACCAGCCTGACCCACAGGGGCCAGGCTAAGCTTGAAGGATAAATTCAATGGGTTGGACCCAGAACTACGTGAGATCTGAGGGTTCCAACTGTGCTGTCTCCAATTCTGGGACCCTCCCACGCCCTGAGCCCACCCAGATCCCCTCCGCATGGCCCCCTCCTCTCAGGATTCTCCCTGGTACTTCGGCACACCCCCCACCCGTAGGGAGCCCCGATGGACCCTGTCGGCGTGGCCCCCACGCTCCCGCAGGACACCATCCCCAGAGTGGGCCCCGGGGGACCCCAGATCTCCCTCACGGGGCTCCGAAGGTGTTCAGATCCCCAGTACCCTCCACGGGAAGACACCCTCAGCAGGACCCCAGGCCCCTAGAGGGCCCCCCAGGGACTTGTCAGAAGCCCAGAACACTCCAGGCCTTCCAGTTCCCTTGTACAACCCCCGACCCCCTCATAGGTCCCGCAGTGAGACCCTGACCCCAGATAGGGAAACACGGCCCTCAGCGCGATCCCAAATCCCTCAGAGACCTCGGTGCCCACAAAGGGATCCCGGTCTCCTCGGTGTCTCCCTGGACCCCCCCTCGGCGGAACCCCTAGCCCCTCAGGGCCCCCCACGCTAAGAGTTGCCGGCTTACCATGTTGCCTGCTGGAGCGCTGTGCCGGGACCCATGGGCCTGGAGCTCGGAGCCCAGCTCGGAACTAGACCAATCAAAATCCGACTTTGGTCTGACAAGCAGCCCACCCAACCAATCGTCAGGCTTGGAGCCGGGCTTGGGGGGGAAATCAGGAGGACAAGGAGTCTCTCTCATTGCATGCCGGAAGTTGTAGTTCAAAGTTGCTCAACGAGCTACGACCGGGGTCTCTGAGACTGTCTCCTCACCTGCACGTATTTCGCACGTTTGAGTGTAATACACTTATTCATCCAATCACTGTCTCCCGCTGGGATTTCTGAGCGTGGAGCTCCCCTGATCAAGGATATTTGGTGGGGGCTTCCCTGGGGGCTTCCCTGGTGGCGCAGTGGTTGAGAGTCCGCCTGCCGATGCGGGGGACAGGGGTTCGTGCCCCAGTCCGGGAGGATCCCACATGCCGCGGAGCGGCTGGGCCCGTGGGCCATGGCCGCTGAGCCTGCGCGTCCGGAGCCTGTGCTCCGCAACGGGAGAGGCCACAACAGTGAGAGGCCGCGTATTTAAAAGTTTTAGTGCCAATTAAAATGTTTTTATTTAGCATTTCATTAGGAAATTTTTTATGCCAATAAAGTTGATTTTACCTTATAATACTGAATTAGTTATCTACTGCTACGTAACAAATTACCCCAAATCATAGTGATTGAAAACAAAAACATCGGGCTTCCCTTGTGACGCAGTGGTTAAGAATCCGCCTGCATACATGGGTTCGAGCCCTGGTCCAGGAAGATCCCACAAGCGGCGGAGCAACTGAGATCGAGCACCACAGCTATTGAGCCTGCGCTCTAGAGTCCCCGAGCCACAACTACTGAAGCCCGCGGGCCTAGAGCCCGTGGTCCACAAGAGAAGACACCGCAATGAGAAGCCCGCGCACTGCAACAAAGAGTAGTTCCCGCTCGCCACAGCTAGAGAAAGCCCACGCGCAGCAAGGAAGACCCAAGGCAGCCAAAAATAAATAAATAAAAAATAAATTTAAAAAGAACATTCGGTGGCCCTCCATGACTAGATTCCAGTTGCTCAAACTGAATTCAGACCCCTCTGCCTGACTTCAATCTGCCGCCAACACTATTGTATGCGCTATAATACAGCTAGCCACAGGCCATGCTTTCTTTTTTTTTTTTTTTTTTTTTTGCGATATGTGGGCCTCTCACTGTCGTGGCCTCTCCCGTTGCCGGACGCGCAAGCTCAGCGGCCATGGCTCACGGGCCCAGCCGCTCCGCGGCACGTGGGATCCTCCCAGACCGGGGCACGAACCCGCATCCCGCGCATCGGCAGGCGGACTCTCAACCATTGCACCACCAGGGAGGCCCCATGCTTTCTTATATCTCCAGGCCTCTGTAAATGCCATCTTCCATCTTGGGGTGCCTCCTTCCTCCCCCGCTCCCCCCTTTTTTGTCACCTGGCAAAAGCCTTATTTATCTCTATCAGCCAGAACCCTGGTTGCAAGCCAAAAAAAAAAAGTCCAACTTAAATGGGCTCCAGCAAAAAAGGGAAAAATTTAGCTAACGTAACAGAAAACTCCAAAAGCATTGTCATCTTCAGGCGTGGCTAGATCAAGGACTAAATGTCAGCCTCAGGAATCTGATGTTTTCTGTTTCAAGGCTTAGAGGAAAGGGCTTCGAGCCCAAGTTTTTCAGCTCTGTTTCTGTGGATAAGTATGTTTGCCTGAATGTGGACATATTATGTGGGTGTGACTGTCTGAGGGTCTTTATGAGCCCTGTGAGTGGATCATGTTTAGTTGTGTTTTGTTGTTGTTGTTGTCGTTGTTTTTGCGGTACGCGGGCCTCTCACTGTTGTGGCCTCTCCCGTTGCGGAGCACAGGCTCCGGACGCGCAGGCTCAGCAGCCATGGCTCACGGGCCTAGCTGCTCCGCAGCATGTGGGATACTCCCGGACCGGGGCATGAACCCGTGTCCCCTGCATCGGCAGGCGGACTCTCAACCACTGTGCCACCAGGGAAGCCCCCATTGATGATTCTTGATTGCAACAATTATTCCTGTGTGTTTGCTTAATGGCAATTTTCCACTTTTAAAAAAATTTTATTTTAATATTATTTTTTATACAGCAGATTCTTATTAGTTATCTATCTTATACATATTAGTGTATATATGTCAGTCCCAATCTCCCAATTCATCCCACCACCACCACCACCGTCCCACCCCCCGCTTTCCCCCCTTGGTGTCCATACGTTTGCTCTCTACATCTGTGTCTCTATTTCTGCCTTGCAAACTGGTCATCTGTACCATTTTTCTAGATTCCACATAAATGCGTTAATATACGATATTTGTTTTTCTCTTTCTGCCTTACTTCACTCTGTATGACAGTCTCTAGGTCCATCCACATCTCTACAAGTGACCCAATTTCATTCCTTTTTATGGCTGAGTAATATTCCACTGTATGTATGTACCACATCTTCTTTATCCATTCATCTGTTGATGGGCATTTAGGTTGCTTCCATAACCTAGCTATTGGAAATAGTGCTGCAATGAACCATTGGGGTGCATGTGTCCTTTTGAATTATGGTTTTCTCTGGGTATATGCCCAGTAGTGGGATTGCTGGGTCATGTGGTAATTCTATTTTTAGTTTTTTAAGGAACCTCCATGCTGTTCTCCACAGTGGCTGTAACAATTTACATTCCCACCAACAGTGCATGAGGGTTCCCTTTTCTCCACACCCTCTCCCGCATTTGTTGTTTGTAGATTTTCTGATGATGCCTATTCTAACTGGTGTGAGGTGATACCTCATTGTAGTTTTTTTTTTTTTCTCATTGTAGTTTTGATTTTCATTTCTCTAATAATCTGTGATGCTGAGCAGCTTTTCATGTGCTTCTTGGCCATCTGTATGTCTTCTTTGGAGAAATGTCTATTTAGGTCTTCTGCCCATTTTTTGGGTTGTTTGTTTCTTTAATATTGAGCTGCATGAACTGTTTATATATTTTGGAGATTAATCCTTTGTCCGTTGATTCATTTGCAAATATTTTCTCCTATTCTGAGGGTTGTCTTTTCGTCTTGTTTATAGTTTCCTTTGCTGTGCAAAAGTTTTTAAGTTTCATTAGGTCCCATTTATTTTTGTTTTTATTTCCATTACTCTAGGAGGTGGGTCAAAAAAGATCTTGCTGTGACTTATGTCAAAGAGTATTCTTCCGGGCTTCCCTGGTGGCATAGTGGTTGAGAGTCCACCTGCTGATGCCGGGGACACGGGTTCATGCCCCAATCCAGGAAGATCCCATATGCCATGGAGCGGCTGGGCCCGTGAGCCATGGCCGCTAAGCCTGCATGTCCAGAGCCTGTGCTCTGCAACAGGAGTGGCCACAACAGTGAGAGGCCCACGTACCGCAAAAAAAAAAAAAAAAAAAAAAAAAAGTGTTCTTCCTATGTCTTCCTCTAAGAGTTTTATAGTGTCTGGTCTTACATTCAGGTCTTTAATCCATTTGGAGTTTATTTTTGTGTATGGTGTTAGGGAGTGTTCTAATTTCATTCTTTTACATGTAGCTGTCC